GTAGAACTAGGGCAGGGAGCTTGTTGGAGCTGGCCTCTTGCTGACAGCATCAGAGATAGATGTTTCCTTTGCCTGAATTTGGGTTACAGCCTAGATACTTGTCCTTGCTTTTGAATGAATCTGTTCCAGCTTTGTGAGTGCAGGAGATGTGGCAGAGTAAGAAAGGGGTTAGCTGCAAAACCATGAGCTTAGATTCAGTTACTAACTTAGCTACTTTCTAAGGCCTTGAGTTTGAGACCCAGGACTGGCATGCACACACACAAAGCCAAGTGAGTGTAAGGCCATAATTTGAAGCCTCAGTGTGGGCATGCACTTACACACATATACACATACCCGCACACATACTCACAAGTTAATACCAGATCCTAACATTCCTGGCAGGAATGTCAACTGCAGCCACTTCTAGAACTTTTATACCAATTTCTCAAAGAGTTAAACATACAGTTCCTGTGTGATGCAGCAATTCCACTCCTAATATACCCACCCAAGAGCAATGAGAGCATGTATCCATGAGTATTTGCATGTTAATGTCCATAGCAGCAGTATTTACAACACTCTCAAAGTGGAAGCAGCCTAGGTGTTCATCAGTAGAAGAGTGGATAAAATGTGGCACATCCTACAAAGAGCATAGTGTTACCATACAGCTGTCAGACACAAACAGTTGTGTGCTGTATAGTTCCTTTTATTTGAAGTATGCAGAATAAGTAAATTGTCAGAGGCAGAAAACAGATTAATAGCTGGGGGTGAGCAGAAAGTAATTGCTAATGGTTCAGGTTTTGTAGGGGAGCAATGAGAATGTTCTACAATTGGTTGTTGTACAACTCTTATGAACTGACTAAAAACCACTGAATTGTACTCTGTAAATGGGTAAATTGCATGGTATGTGAAATAAAACTGTTATTAAAAAAGAAAAGTCTGGGCTGGGAATGTGGCTTAGTGGTAGAGTGCTTGTCTAGCACGCATGAAGCCCTGGGTTCAATTCCTCAGTACCACATAAACAGAAAAAGCCAGAAGTGGCACTGTGGCTCAAGTGGTAAGAGTGCTAGCCTTGAGCAAAAGAAGCTCAGGGACAGTGCTCAGGCTGAGTTCAAACCTCAGGACTGGCCAAAAAGAAAAGAAAGGAAGGAAGAAAAGTAGTGTTGGGATTAACTAAGAATGAGATCATCTAATTTGGGAGCAGAGAGCTTCTTCCCACCTTGTTGGAAGCTCTGTAAATAGATTAGGTTAGCTGCAGTTCTCTTCTTTGACATACCCTATTTGCTCTTTTCTTTGCATTTGCTATAGGATCAGATAATGTCCCTCATGGTAACTTACTGAAGAGACAACTGGATAAATTGTAAATGTGAGATTTTGATACATAGGTGTTAAGTAAGCACTGATTTCTTTAATTCTTAGCCTAGTTTATATCTTTGCCATTTATTAGCACCATTAAAATCCTTTTTGGAAGGAAATAGAACCCTTATTTCACACATAAGGAAACTGGGGCCCAAAAGGTAGACAGGTGGTCAGCCTTGCTTTGTTCTAGGATGGTGAGATTGAGAACATGACCACATCCAAATGTAAGGCAGGATCTCTTGACTGGTGGCCAAGTGCCCAGCACAAACAATTACTGCAGAGAAGGGGAAGAGGACCTCTGGGGACAGTGAGCAGTTTCATGACACTGAGCCCTGGTATTCATGTCAAAGTAGGGCCTGTGGATAATCCCCTGAGAAGAATATACTAGAATTTCGATTGATATGTTCCCTCATTCCCATTTTATTTATCTGGGTACATGTGTGCTGTATGTGTTATATTTTATAATCTATTGATGATGTGACACAGATCTACCACTTATTGAGGGCATGTGTCAGAATTGGGACACTGGGCCCAAGGGCTGTATACCAACCTTTGGGAATGCAGCAGTGTAGAAGAGGTGCCCTGGCAAAGTCCCTGTGCAGTCCCTTCTTCCTGTGGTCACTCCTGTCTCACTTCATGACTTTATGTCATTAAGTTCTTATTGCAGCCATTAGTTTTCTCTTCTGCCTCAGAGAGACAGTGAGCCTTGTCCAGGGATGGAGAACATACGTCCCTGTGAGGTAGGGGTCCAGCTTCAAGAGGATACTTTGTCCAAAATAGATTAAGAGGAAGCCTCCTGGACAAGGCCTAACATTGGCACTTGTATAGACTAGAATAAGAATCTGGACCTGGGGAAAGGAAGCTATAAACAATGGTTCTCTTGCTCTACATCTCCTTAGCCAAAAGATGATGAAGACTTGGGTCCAGACAAGAAGGGGTCTGAATCCATCACCTTTTCCCAGGAAGTCCCTCTGTGGAACAGTTCACCTGCTTGCCTTTTCTAGCCCCTTCTCTGGGTACTCCATGAATATCTACAGAGGCACCTAGTACTTTTTGGCTGTTGCACCAATGAGAGCTATGCTGAGCCTACTTGAGGCTCCTCCTGCACCTACTCTGCCATCCTTAACTTCTCAATACTGAGGCAGGTGTTCTGTGAACTTGGACTACAAAGCACATTGTGTTTTGCCACAGAAAGCTAGAGATTCCCTCTGAGTTTAGCCTCTTCTATGCTGTCTGCCTTCTGAGTTGGGCCTGTGGTTCTCAGTTGAGCTCAGAGGTCTTCAAGGAAAGGCTCTTGGGCATGGGGATCTCATGGGGCATACAGCTGCTGAGGACCATGTGGAGGTGAAGATTCAGCTGTCCCATTCATCCTTTTGGCAATTATCAAGGTGTAGTAGACAGGCAGGTCAGCTAGAGGAGCTCACAAATAGCTTGATGGTAAAATCACATGTTCCTCAACTGGAACAGTCTAGGGAGTTTATACCTAACCTGCATTTTGACAGATGAAGTGGGTGAAGGTGGGGTGATTGTTCTGAGCTCAGTGTGAGTACCAGCCAGGCCTATATCCTGCTCTCAGATCATGCCCCCTTACCCTCAACCATCAGTAGGGAGCTGGCAGATGGATAGTGATAAAAGTAGTTGGATGGATGGGCTGGGAAGGTGGCTCAGTGGTAGAGTGCTTGCCTTGCATGCCTGAGGTCCTGGGTTCGATTCCTCAGCACCACATAAACAAAAAGAAAAAAAGCCGGAAGTGGTGCTGTGGCTCAAGTGGTAGAGCACTATCCTTGAGCTGAAGAGCTGAGGGACAGCACCCAGGCCCAGAGTTCAGGCCCCACGACCGGACCCAAAAAAAAAAAGGTGGTTAGATGGAGCTATGGGAGACAAGCAGGCTGCCCCAGTTGTCACTATTTTCCCCCTTTTTAAATGTAAGCTGCAAAATTTGCTGCTTCTCTAGAAATAAGACCAAGCAAATAGTAGTCTGTAAGCAGCTTGGTGAAGATGATGGTCTGCCCATCTGTGGCTTGAGGAATGGTCCTGTTGCTGTGCTTCCTTGTGAGAACCAACAACGTGAAGGGAAGGGTGGCAGAGACAGGCCCTGGTGGAAGCCCTTCCGTTTTTTGAAAGCATCCTCATATTTAGGGGCAATCTGAGGCTAGAGGACACAAAGGCTAACACATTATCTTCAGGGGACAGCTGTGGAAATAGTAGCTGTCGTTCTGAACTGGAGTATGGCTCAAGTGGTTAAGCTCCAATCATGAGTAAGCAAACCAGGAGACTGCAAGATCTCCAGAGTTCAAGCCCCAGCATTGGCAAAACAAAACGTAAGAAACACGATCTTTTATCCAGCCCCTCACCTCAATGTGAATTTCTTAAAGAATTCCTTTCCGGGCTGGGAAGGTGGCTCAGTGGTAGAGCACTTGCCTTGCATGCATGAGGCCCTGGGTTCAATTCCTCAGCACCATATAAACAAAAAGAAAAAAAGCCGGAAGTGGCTCTGTGGCTCAAGTGGTAGAGCACTATCCTTGAGCTGAAGAGCTGAGGGACAGCGCCCAGGCCCAGAGTTCAGGCCCCATGACTGGACCCAAAAAAAAAAAAAGAATTCCTTTTCATGAGCTGAGTGCCGGTGGATCATGCCTGTAATCCTACTCAAGAGGTTGAGATTTGAGGATCATGGTTTGAAGCCAGCCCAGGCAGGAAAGTCTGTGAGACTTATCTCCAATAAACCACCAGAAAACCTGAAGTAGAGATATGACAGTGGTAGTGCACTAACCTTGAGTGAAAAAGCTCAGGCCCTGAGTTTAAGTACCACGACCAGGAAAAAAACAAAACAAAAAAAACTTCCTATTTTTAGTTTTCTGTCCCTGATTTCAGAATCTAAATGTTTTTGCTATTTAAGTGAGAAAAAAGGTTACTGGTTGTTGAGCCAGGCAGCCTCTGCAGGATGCTTCATGGTCTGGACAGGAGTGGGGGGTTTCTGACTCCATGCTTCCAGCCCCACAGCCAGTGCTTCAAGGGTATTGGCTCTTGTCTGCCCCCCTCCTTGCATCTAAAACCAAATCAAATCAAACAACAACCAAAAAAAAAACCTCTTTGTTTTTCTGAATCCATCTGTGGAGCTTTTCCTTACTACTCTTTTGGATCAGCAATCCCTCTGGGACCGGGATCTTGGCTGCTACTGTTTCCACAGCTGTCCCTTTCCTGTCTTGCCCCCTCCCTCCTCACCTCTTCCTCCAGTCCAAGCTGGGATATTGTTATCCAAGTAAGAAGTAAAGTCCAACTGGTTGTCCTCTGAGAAAACCCAGCTTTTCCCTGTTCTCCCTGGGTAAGTGGGTAGGAAATAAGAGCTTGGAGGGCCAAGAGGCTGTGAGATCCCATGCCATTCTTTTTTTTTTTTTTTTTTTTTGGTCCACTCGTGGGGCCTGAACTCTGGGCCTGGGTGCTGTCCCTCAGCCCTTCAGCTCAAGGCTAGCACTCTACCACTTGAGCCACTGTGCCACTTCCGGCTTTTTTTTTTCTGCTTATGTGGTGCTGAGGAATTGAACTCAGGGCCTCATGCATGCAAGGCAAGCACTCTACCACTGAGCCACCTTCCCAGCCCTCCCATGCCACTCTTGCTGCTTCTTTGCCTGCTGCCTCTGAGTGACTCTGACATCTTGTTCTTATAGCCCACAACCCTCCCTCAGGGCACCATCAACATGAACCAGTGCACAGATGTAGTGGATGGGGAAGGCCGCACTGGACAGAAGTTTTCCCTCTGCATCCTGACGCCTGAGAAAGAGCATTTCATCAGAGCAGAGACCAAGGAGATCATCAGTGGGTGAGTTGTCCAGAGCCACACAAGGCATCACCAGCAGGACCTTGAACCAGGCCTGAGTACATTCAGCAGAGTAGATCATGGACTAATTTGGCTACACCAAAAGGTTCTTCCTCTGAACTCCCTATCTTCCTTTCTCAGTATCATTTCGTTACCATGTCTCACCCCTGTGCTGTTCACAAACTTGTCAAACCCACACCTGTGTGTCCTGCGGACTTTAGGGCCTCTCCATTAGTGTCCAGAGGTATAACTATTTTGCCCCTCTTCTGGTGAAACCCACCAAATTGCTTAGCAGGTCTTTAAGATCCTTCCCAGCTCTGCAACACCTCTACTACCCTATACCTCAGTGGTTTTGAGTTACATAGTGCTGCTTTTACCATCACCTCAGTCCTGAACGACCCTCCTTCCTTCATGCTGTTTCGTTATCCTGTGTCTCGGCTCTTCTGGGGAACATGCCTCAGGCAATGCTGATGATCTATACTCATTGTTGGCCCTTGGAGGTCATGTCTTCTGTGCCATACACAGGAGCCACACTACTGCCACTTGTTTTGTTTTAATGGAAAAAACTGACAAGCCTGCTCACTTCTGTGGCATATAGACTATGTTTGGAAATAGCTGATATTCTGACAACATGAGCTTTATACTCTTGAATATCAGGGAGCTCGAAGTCTAGCAGTGGGGCATTTACTACCAACTTGAGCAGTGGTGAAAAACTTCATGGTACACACTAGTAAACAGGCTCTAACAGGCCTGGCCCCTTGAGAGTGAATCTCAGAATCCTGCTGGTTCTTTAAGGCTGGAAAGAGGCAGATGCATTTGAAACTTTTAAGAAAGCAAATCTGAGAAGTTGAAGAGATTAAGCTGATGGCTGCAATACAGGAGAGATGACCCCTTCAACTTGAGCATGTGCAGCACTATTGGAGCACTGCCTTACTTTAACATTTTAACTGCAGCCCTGGCCAGGCTGAAGGAGGAAGAGGGAACATGGACTACAGCCATTGCTTACCTTGGGGCGCCCCCTGCTGGGAAGATACAAGTTCAGATTTATTAAGTTCCAGAGGACAAGCTAGACAGTTTCTGTCTATCCCTAAGCTTAACATAGAATCATGGGCTCTAAGGGCGTCCAGGGCATCTCAAGAACTATTGCTTTTGTCAGGCACCAGTGGCTCATGCCTGTAATCCTAGCTAATCAGGAGGCTGAGACTTGAAGGATTGTGGTTCAAAGCCAGCCCAGGCAGAAAAGTCAGCAAGACTAAATCCTTCCAAAAGCTGGTGTAGAGGCATGGTTCAAGTGGTAAAGCACAAACTAAGAAAGCAAGGTGAGTGAATACAAAGCCTTGAGTTCAAGCCTTGGTACTGGCAAAAGTGAGATGGCTGAGCACCTGAAAGCAGTAGGACTACCTTTAATGTGGGAGCAACCATCTACATTTCATACTCAAATCTGCTGCTCCATTACCTAGCCAGACACACCTCTGTGTAGTAATAGGGAACATGCAGCCACAGGCTTCATGCAAAGTGATGTGGTCTAGTATTGCCTAGGCAGCCTTGGGTAAGACTTGAAATCCAATAACTCTACAAGCTTTTTTCTTTTTGCCAGTCCTGGGACTTGAGCTCATGGCCTGTGTGCTGTCCCTAAGCCTCTTTGTGCTCAAGGCTAGTGCTCTACCACTTGAGCCACAGTGCCACTTCTGACTTTTTCTGAGTAGTTTATTGGAGATAAGAGTCTCATGAACTTTTCTGTCCAGACTGGCAATCCTCAGATCTCAATCTCTTGAGTAGCTAGGATTACTGGCGTGAGCCACCAGTGCCCAGCTTCTACAAGTTTTTTTTCATGACAACATAAAGATAAATACCAGCTAACATCACATGCCAAATGGCCCTTGCACATAAAAGGTTCTCCACCACTACTAGAGAATCTCACCCTGCCATGTTTGGAACCCAGGGAAGGCAGAGATGACAATGATGACAGAAAGGAGGGCTGAAATCCCTGGGTTAGAGCTGGGATGTTGACATCCTACAGTTCAGAGGTGATATATAGCATTTGATTTGTCCCTGTAACAAACAGTCCATGGTCCTCACTATAGCCCACACCCCTCCAGGGTTCTCCATTTCCTTACGTCCATTGTCTCTTCTGTTAGTATGCACTGGACTCACTTTACCCAGACAGCTTGGATAGACATTTGTTATTAGCAGACTAAGGAACCAGGCCGGCTGGGCCCAATGTTTATATGGTGGCTTAGTGACACAACCATATATCATTACCTATATTTAGCCAAGGCTCTTCCCTCTCCTTATTCTGGTTTAGGACCTACATGTTTCTGTGTAGCAGCCAGGTTCTTACTGTAGAGGCCTGCCCATGTGCCCTGTAGCCCCTCTCCTGACCCAAGCAGCAGCTTCCTCACCTTACCCATATTCTGAGATTTTTTTTCTTTTTTGTCAGTCGTGGAGCTTGAACTCTGGGCTTGGGCACTGTCCGTGCACTCTTCAGCTCAAGGTGAGAGCTCTACCATTTGAGCCACAGCACCACTTCCGGTTTTCTAGTGGTTTATTGGAGATAAGAGTCTCTTGGACATTCCTGCCCTGGCTGGCTTTGAACTGTGATCCTCAGATCTCAGCCTCCTGAGTAGCTAGGACTACAGGTGTGAGCCATTGGCGCCCGGCTTATTCTGGGATTCTTGATCCCAGCATTTGTGTAACATATATGTCCTAGGGACAGAAGCTCCATCTTTTCCACCTCCTCTCATCCTTGCAATGACCCCTTACTTCAGTGCTCTCCACAGCTTCCTCTTTACTTGTCATGGCTCTTCATCTGTTGGTTCTGGTCATATTGAAGATAGGTGCTAAGGAGGTATTGACACTTCTGCCAGGCTGCCTGGGATAGGGCAGGGATATCAAGACCATCTCAGCAGCCCTCCTCCCCAGGTCTTCTGTGAATGCTCCCTCTCAGGGCTAGAGAAAGTGGCCAGTTCTTTCAGTTCCCATGTTCCAGTAGACAAACAAGATTTGACTTTGCTCTATTGCTAGGCCGGAGGGTAGGCTTCCCTTCTTCCATGCTGTCAGCTCTACCCACATCCCTATTCTCAGTAACTCAACTCTTGTTTTCTGGAATTGAGCCCAGGCACCCACTAGTTCCATATTTACTCATCTTCTTTACTATGTAACATTGGACACGTCCTACTAGACTTCCATAAATCCATGTGCAGAGAATACAGTTTATCATCTATCCTAGCCTAACAACCCCATTGTAATGGGTTGAGCAGGTGTCTTGGGTTACAAAACAAGTTGCTGTCTCAAATCCCAGCCCAGAAATGCTTAGCTGTGCTATTCAGTTAGTGGTGCCATGTCCGTACCCCCCAGCCAGCCCTTTCCTCTTCCCTTAAAACTTTGTCCTGGGGGGGGGGGGGAGGCTGGGAAGGGATGTGAAGGGTAAACAAAGGAGGAGGCTGCAATGCTTGATAAGAAATGTGCTCATTATCTTGCCTATGTAATTGTAACCCCTCTGTACAGTATGTTCACAAAAAATTAAAAAAAAAAAACAAAAATAATTATGGTATGAGGAAGTGGTGCTGTGGCTCAAGTGGTAGAGTGCTAGCCTTGAGCAAAAGAAGCTCAGGGACAGTGCCCAGGCCCTGAGTTCAAACCTCAGGACTGGCCAAAAAGAAAAGAAAGGAAGGAAGAAAAGTAGTGTTGGGATTAACTAAG